ATTCCATGTAACTTTTCTTGAACAAAATAATATACAAGTAGATTATAATGAGTTAAAAGCTTTAAAATCATTGAAAAAAAAACAATAAAATCATATAGTATTCAAAATTCAATACAAACAAACATTACTAGTTTTTCAGTAAATAATTGACTATTAATTACCATTTAATTTTTTGTAAATTTTACTGTATTATATCAAGTATTGTATTAAGTATTATTGTTATATTCAAAATTTAAATCACAACACAAAAATTTTATTATTATTAAAATTTTCCTGTTGATCCTGTAGATCATTATCTCGTTTCAACGATAGAAATTTGTTATGCAGATCCGGGATATCAAACTTATTATTACTAGTTAACTAGTTATTTTTATTATATAAACAAATGAACACAGATCATTCTATTCTCAGAGTTACGAGGCAATGATTCTCAAGATAGACAAGACACATTAACTTTTTGTTTTTATAATATATTAAATATCATTTAAATGATTTGTTTGTTTCCAAAACATAATTCTTACAAAATGCTTTTACCCTTACAACACACAAAACACAAGATCTATCAATTTCAGTCTCACAAACCGTTTAAAAGAAATTTCCCTTTACAGTTATAAATGATAATTCAATATCTTCCTTTATTCAATTAATATTAAATTTGTTTATCCATGTACAAACTATGCAAAACCAACACATCATCTTTGTGAAAAATGATCTTTGAATTTGATTTTGTTCACATTTAAAAAGCCTTGTATACTAAGTAAAAATATGTTCTACTGTTATATTTCAATTGGGATATTAAAAATACACATTTTTGTGTTTTTAACTTTATCTTGAAAAAAAGAAACCACCAGCAGATAACCAATATTGTGCACCAAATAAACTTGTTGCTTGTAACTAGAGATGCGCGTGCAATTTCTTTGAAATCATGCAATTGCCCATAGAAAAATTGATGTAAAGTAAAAGTCTACTAATAAACTTGGTTGCATATTAAAAAAATGTAAAGATAATTTGTCAACAAAGTCATGTTAAATGCATTATGAATTAAATCAAACTAGTCCAAGATGTGAAAGTGTTGAATAATGTAAAACAGTTCTGTTTATTTTGTGATATCAATCAAATAATAATAATTCACCCTTCTTCATAGCAAAGTTTAGAGTCACTTATTTTAATAAAAAAAGAGGTGGATAAAATTTTTTAATATATTCTTAAATAATACATGGAAAAAAAATTAGGTTTGTTTTTTGTTGTAATTTACTTTTATGTAATGGAAATGCAAAAAACACGCATATTACTATATTAATATTACAGTGGATATGTAAATTTACATTAACAAAATTGACTTGCCAATAATAACCATCAAAATTTTTCCCATAAATGCCTAATCAAGAATATAATGCGTATATGTTGAAAAAGAACACACCACTTTATTAAAAATAAACAGATAAAAGACGATACAGTAATTAACAATACCTACTTGCATAAGAAAGACAAATTAATGTTATAGATATAACTGATTGCAACAAAATCAAATCTAGTCTTTCTCAAGATTTAAAAAGAAACTTGAGATGCTCAAGTACTGTAAGGCTTTTGTCAAAGGTCTAAGAACATTGTAAACAAATGAAGTTTGTATTATAAGATTAGAAAGACAGAAATTTCATTTTTTTTGTAGTCATAGTGGCATTATTAGAATCTTTTCTCTACAGATATTGGGCGCCTTCAAAAATTATTAGATTGAGATTGAGATTGAGATTGATTTCGATCTGCGTTCAAAAATTTCCATATTGAGATTGATTTCGATCTGAGATTGAGATTGAGATCGAATTTTAATATGAAATTTCAATCTAGGTCAGGTAGTAAGATTGAAAAAATAAACAAACAAAATAATAAAAAAAATTTTTTAAAAAAAAAAATGGAAAATATTGAAGTACCCGAAAATCAAAGACATCAATACTAAAATCATTAGCATTGGTATTTGTAGGTTCAAGGTCTAATTCATTTCTTTGATGATTAATAAAAGAGAAAAGAGATGTAAAAATTCCATTGTTAATTAATAATTGTTGATCATCTTGATAAAATAATTTTTGATCATGGATTGAAAATTTCAATTTCAATCCAATCTCAATCCAATCAAATATTCAATCTCAATCTCAATATAATAATTTTTGAAGGCACCCATTCTTTCTACTGCCTCATTCATATTGTGTTACATGAATACAAAAATTCAACTGCGCCATATATTAATAAGAGTCAATATTAATAACTTTTTCTGACCACTATGGTGCTGATCATCTAAAGGCATCAAAAATTTTGGCTAAACTTTAAAATATATAAGCTCAATGACCATACAAGATAAAAAAAAACTCTACAGTTTTATTCTATAAGACATAAGGGAAGATGCAATAGAGAATTTTATTAAAATGAAAAGAGTTATAATGGTTTAAAGTTTGTCATTTTTACTATTAAAACTATTAAAAAAAAATTTTTCACCACTGATCATTACTCTATTTAAAGAATATTTTCATGATACAAAGAAGTATCACGTGATACTTGTGACTCGTGAAATTCCACTAAAACAGATTCGGGAACTCTTCTATGAGAGTGGTACTTTTTAACTGCAAAAATAGCAGCTTTACCAAAAAGCCCCATCCTATAGGCACTCATAACCTATAACATCTTCTTGCAAAATTGCGAATTTTACAGAGAGAAATAGAATTAAGAGCCAATGACACAGTTTGTTGTAAACCTTCCCAAGATTCTAATTCTGTAGTTAAAGATAAATCTCTCCAGTCATCATCAGATTCAATGTATTCATAGATTGACTCTTCGATTTCTAATCCAGGTTCATTTACATCTAATTCATTCAAAATGTTTGTGTCAATATGAGATTCATTTTCAAACACCTCCTTATCAATATATTCATCTGTAATGGGTTTAATAGTTTCTTTCATTTTTTTAGTTTCACAAGCTTTTGTAAATATTAATTTCTTTTATTCTGTTTAGGCATTTTAACAAAAAAAAAAATAAAGAAATAGATTTGAGTTAAAAAAATTGTTAAAAATCGCGTTCCATAAAAGGAATGATTTTCATAGAAATGATGCAAGCATTTGATGTGTTTAGATGATTGGCACCATACCGAGTTTTGACTTTTATTAGTAGTGAGTGACATTTCTCTAATTTCCGTCAACATTCATGGATAAATAGTGTCATAATCAAGATTTTTCTTTGTTAATAATAATAGGCATTAAACATGAGTATAATCACAAACATAGAGGAAATCAAATAATAAAAGCAATTACAGTGAAGACACTTAGTCCCTACAACTTTTATTGGTCAGCATAGTGGAAATTTGTTTCATCCAATATGTTACACAAAGCCTATTTTCCTCGAACTTCACCAACATATAGTTTTCACCTCTCTAAGTTGGAGATCCAATTGAGATCCAATCGAAGTCCAGTTTATCACCTACTTTTTATTCCAAAAATATTCACTGTAACTTATGTTTTGTTGGTTATATTGATCATTTTTTAATGATCTGCAACCAATTTACTATGCTTTATTGGTCTTGGAGACCTCAAAATGAAATTGCATGACCAAAAAACAAGATATAATTTTGAAGCTAAGCCTTTCTCTACAAAGTTACATCTTCATTTTTGTTGATGTCATGCATGTTGTTGTGGAGAAATTAAAATTTGCCATGTCAAACGTAATAGGGCCAATATGTGGGTCAAACAAATTATTAGGGAACACAAATGGGAGTTGGACTAGGAAAATTTTTTTCTAAAAATAGATTTGATATGATTTTACTAATGAAAATCATGTGTAACAAATGCTGAGGGGTCGATTTTCCTAGTCCAACTCCCAAATGTCAATTTTTTCACGTTACTCTATTAAAATGTTATATATTATATATAAAAATCAGCAAATTATTATAATCAGTTAATGTTAGTATAATATATTAACTCTAAAATAAAAAAAATCAGTATCTAGTTGGTCACTTTTCGTCATGCTTTCAATAGGTTTATTGATTTTTTCTAATGGAATTTGTGCTCATGCCTTTTTCAATGCAACTTCCAACCCCAAAGTATTTTTTAGATGTGTTGCTTTGTTTTATCGCGTTTCTAACTCGTCCCAAAGACATTCGGTTGGATTGAGGTCAGGTGATTGTGAAGGCTAATCAAATATTGTTTTCCTCGATCCAATCTTACAGTTTTTACATTGTGAACTGGCACATTGTCATCTTGAAAATAATAATCCCAATTATCAAATTCATTTGTGATTAAAGGTAACAAATTCTCCTCTAAAACCCTAATGTATTTATCTTCCCTCTACTGACCAGCCATTTACCAGAAAAACATCATCTCCGCCGCCATGTTTTACCGACGGAGCAAGATTTTCAATACCGTAACGTCTCCCATCTCTTTCGCCAAACATAAAGTTCATCACTCCATATTATTGACTTAGGTTACAAATCAAAAAAAATATTTTACATGGTAATTCACATTACTCTTGGTAGATCTGATATGATGGTAGTCACGGCTAAATTGAAAAATGCGAATAAGGATAAATATGAACGAAACAATGTCATAATTAGTTAGAGTAATTAAAACTTTGAAATTTTCTTTTTAGACGAAATTGTAATAGCTTCATTTTTTTTCATTTTTTGTGTATCACCATTAGGAGTAATATCTGTTGAGGGTCATATTGGTAGCGATAATTGAGCCAATATCGGCTATATTAGCATTTGCACCAGTATTTTGTATGTGTGGATATAATGGGTTGATTAAAAAAAATAAGAAAAAAATCTTTCAAGTTTTAATTATGTCCAAGAAAAAGCAAGAACAATATCCAGATAAGGAAAACTTGATTTTTTTTAGATGTTCAACTGTTGTGATCACAAGATTATATTAGTATTAATATTGGTATAGATAGATCCAATCATGTTTTACAAACTATACAATAAAATTAAAGCAAATTAAAACAAATTAAAGAGCAAATTCAAAATGCCTTATTCAAGTCTCTTTCGTTCGGAAGAGATGTCACTCATTCAACTCTATATTCCGTCAGAAACTGCTCAGCCAACAGTGGCGGAATTAGGAGAGCTTGGTCTCATACAATTTCGAGATGTAATGACTTTTTAAATTGTATAATTTACATGTATTACTGTATTATATAAATACATTAATTAACGACACTTTGATAACTAACATAGTTGAATCCCGATGTAAACGCTTTTCAAAGAGCTTTTGTAAATGAAATTAGACGTTTTGATGAAATAGAAAGACGACTTCGTAAGCTTATTATTATTATGATAGAAAAACCGATGATTATTCACCAAAAAACTTTTTTAAAATGTCTTAATTCTTATTATATTGCATTCTATTCATTATCTCATCTATTTTATGAATTGATAATAGGATATTTTAATGCACAAATTGCAAAAACTGATATTCCTATTCGTCCTTTGACTGGTGATATATATGAAGCTCGTGCAAGGAATGCTCAAGAACTTGATGAACTTGAAGAGACAGTTAATCAACATGAACAACGTATCATACAAATGAATAGCTCATATGAAACTTTACAAAAAAGATACCTAGAACTGACTGAGGCTAGACATGTATTACAAGAGACAGCAGTATTTTTTGAAGAAGTGAGTTGTTTAAATCTTCAGTTGAAGAATAAATAATTTTGATAATGTCCTTAAATAATAATTTTATAATTTATTAAATATTCTATTTATTTATCAGGCAGAAAATCGTCAAGACATACGACAATCATTAGATGAACCTACAACACCGTTGTTAGACCATCCTGATGTTGAACAGGGTGACTTTTTAGGGTTTAATCATGTGAATCTTAGGTTTGTTTGTTAATTATTATGCTTTTTGAAATTCTTTTGAGTTTAAATTTATTCAAAATTTTATATATTATTTGTATGATGATGACGTTAGGTTTGTAACAGGCGTTATATTAAGATCCAAAATGCAAATATTTGAACGAATTCTTTGGCGTGCATTACGTGGCAATTTTTATATAAATCATGCAGAAATTGATGAACTAATTACTGATCCAGAAACAGATGAGATTTTAGAAAAAAATGTTTTTATCATCTTTTCTCATGGTCAACAAATAATAAATAAAATCAAAAAAATTTCTGAATCATTGGGAGCTACACTTTATCCTGTAGATAATAGTCCTGATCAAAGACGTCAAAATATATTAGAAATTACTACAAGCATTGAGGATCTGAATTCTGTTCTACAAAGTACAAATAATGCTCGTAGAACTGAATTATTAAAAGTCGCAGAAAATTTATCAACTTGGTTTACTATTGTTAAAAAAGAAAAGGCAATTTATCATGCAATGAATTTATTTAATTATGATGGCACTAGAAAATGTTTGATTGCCGAAGGATGGTGTCCAACCAATGATATTGATCAAATCTATAATGCCTTGAGAACTGCAACTGTAAAGTGTTAATAATAATAATAATAATAATAATAATAATAATAATAAAATCCCTTTTTTTATTATTATTGAAAATTTTTTTGATTATTTTAATTAGGAACAATCACGTTCTACGGTGCCTTCGATTCTTAATGTACTTCGTACAACTAAAGAGCCACCTACCTTCCATCATGTTAATAAGTTTACTGCAGGATTTCAAGAAATTGTCGATGCCTATGGCATTGCAAAATATCGTGAAGTCAACCCTGGATTATTCACCATAATCACCTTTCCATTCTTATTTGCTGTAATGTTTGGTGATTTGGGACATGGAACACTTGTTACCCTAGGAGCTTTATATTTAATTATATTTGAAAAACGATTAGAAAGAAATGGAAAAGGAGAGGTAATTAATTTTTTTGTATTATTTATTTATTTAAACAATATTTATTTAAAATTTATCATTTTAGTTTTTTGAAATGTATTTTGGAGGTCGTTACATCATTCTTTTAATGGGTCTGTTTTCAATGTATACTGGATTAATGTACAATGATATATTTTCATTATCATTAAAATTGGCAAAACCTGGATTTGAATGGATCAAAAATGACACGGATGGAAGCTACAAAGTGATACAGACAGGAGTTTATCCATTTGGTGTTGATCCAAGTTGGCATGGTGCAGACAATTATTTGTTATTTACTAATTCATATAAAATGAAAATGTCAATAATTTTAGGTGTAATTCATATGAGTTTTGGAATAGTTCTTACCGTCTACAATTATACATATTTTAAAAAAACCTTGAGTATTTGGACAGAATTTTTGCCACAAATGTTATTTATGCAATCAATTTTTGGATATCTTGTGTTTGCCATTATTTACAAATGGACAATTAATTGGTGGGAAACTGATGAATCAGGTCAAACTATAAGAAATAGCCCACCAGGTTTATTGAATATGTTGATATATATGTTTTTACAACCTGGTAAAGTTGCAGCTAAAGATCAACTATATCCTGGTCAAGTAAGTGATAATTATTTATTTTTTCCTTCATATTAATCAATCTTATATATGTATATTTATTATTTATTTCATGTTTGATAATACAGGATAAAGTTCAATTTATCCTATTAATAATCGCATTAATTTGCGTGCCTTGGATGCTATTAACAAAGCCTCTTATAATGAGACATGATCATAAGAAAATTAGAGCGCAAGGCTATCATAATCCACAAACTGATGCAACACGTGTATCAACTGATGAAAATAATGAGTATGGTGGCACTGTGGTGACAGAGGAGATGCGTGAAGAGGAAGAGTTTGATTTTGGTGAAATTATGATTCATCAAGTTATACATACTATAGAATTTTGCCTTGGTTGTATTTCTAATACCGCAAGTTATTTACGATTATGGGCTTTAAGTTTAGCGCATGCTCGTAAGTTATAATGTTTATTTTGTTTAGCCTTAATAACAACAAAAATATTGGTTTAATAATAATAATTGATTAATATTTTTAAAAAATCAAAAAAGAATTATCATCTGTACTATGGGATATGACATTAAAATCTGCTTTAAATTACCAAGGTGTATTTGGAGTAATTTTAATTACTGTAGCTTCACTTTTTTGGTTTACTTTAACAGTTGGTATATTAATATTCATGGAAGGATTATCTGCATTTTTACATGCTTTACGTTTACATTGGTATGTTTTTTGTTATATGGTATTAATTACTAATCAATCATTTTAAAAAAGCATTGTTGAATAATAATGAAATAAATTTTGTTTTGAATCTAGGGTTGAATTTAATAACAAGTTTTACGAGGGTACTGGTAGAAAATTCGAACCATTTGGTTTTAAGAGAATTTTAAAAGAGCAGGATTAATATATAGATTAGAGAGAAGTTAATTCAATTTTTATTGATTAATTGGTTAATTGGCCAATTTATTCATGCATACATTCTTTTATTTATTTTCACTTCAAATTTTTAAATTTTTGAAAAATTATGTAATTTATCCACAAGTATATAAAGAGTTTCGGCCTTTTTTGCTGTCCACGTCCCATATGAACTAATCTCATCATTGTACTAAGTAAATCTCCCACCAGTTATAATCCTTATGATATAGATGTACATTATTATTATGCAAAAACTCAATTTTGGACAGGGTGCCCCAAAATCGGTTTTTGCTAGAGATCCCGCCAAATTTTTTTTTTTGGTACAGCTAAGGTATCATCAGTTGAAATAATAATAGGAGATATGTTATTAGTGAAAGAAATAATTTCTTCTGTCATTAAATATGAAGACAGAGATTAATTCAATTGATCTCCATGAAGGAATTATTGGTCAGAAATTGATCACATGATTACACTGTTTCGGATATTTCGGTATGATATTAATATTAGAACGCACAGAATATTTTCAGTAAGTCACAACATTGGTAATAAATATAATGGCGACAGAGTCAAAATTAAAACATCAATTAAGAGCATTATATTTGTAAAAAATCAGAATTTTAAATCAATAAGTAGTATAATATATGGATTAGCACAAAAAATTGTACAATAAAATACTATTATCGCTATAACTGATCCAGAGTTTATTACGTGAGATAGATTAAACAATTAAACCAATAGTTTTATAATAATCATGAAGAGAATCTGTGTATATTATCAAAAATCCATTTTCACCGCATGATTTTAGGATCCCCAAGACATCCAGGGTCCTTTCAGCTATTTATTGCACCAAAGATGAAAAAAAAGTATTAATCTTCGATAGAAAAATTTTTTTGAAATTTTTATTTTTATACTAAATATCGGAAATGGGAAAGTGCTCGTATACTAGAGTAGATAGTGGAATGCTGTCTCGAGAATATCAGATAAAAGAACATCACAAGCATTGGGTCTGATAAAAAATATTTACAAGGCTATATAGCTTCGGGCTCTAGATTTGCTCTATCGAGAGGAAAAACTCAGTTTTATTAGCATAACTTGTTAATTTATCTCAACGATTTACAATTTATTGAGATTTTTTATATAATATAATTATAATTATATTATTTTAAATTTTTTTTTTGTATATTATATATATATTATTTATTTGACTTGATATTAACCGTCATTTTTCTATACCACTTGAAATGTATGCTAAGACACTTTCTAATGTTATATCATTTATCCCATCACCAAATTCTTCAATTTTTTCATCCGAATCCTCCAATCTTTTTTTAGTATTTATTATTTCTCCTATATTATTTTCATAATATTCAGAAGCAACAGCAGCAACATTACCATGCTCTTCATATTTTTTAACCCATTCATCTAATAAATTCGCTAATTTGTTTTCATCTGATTTCTCAATTGCCTCTTTCTCGTAACTATCTAAACCTTCTTCAATTGCAATATCATTTTTGATTTCATCTTCTAATTGCTCAATCTCCGGTATTTGTTTTGTACGTAATAAAGTAGCAAATGTAGATTCGGATTGCAATGGTGGTGCTTCCTTTGGATATAACATTATATTACGAAAATTTGTTTCTATAAAATTGTTTGAAAGACCAGTATGCTTCGAAAGAAATATATTAAATTTATTTAAATATTCAACCCTTTTATTATTATTATTATTATTATTTAACAATAATGAGATGAAATTTAAAAATTAGTCATTAATTCATTAATAACTAATAAGTCAAAACAAAAAAAAGGGAACTACCAATTGAAATTACTTAGTTCATCAGTGGCTTGAACATTTTGAATGAAATCACCTTGAGCATCATTTATTTGTATCATCCTAGATCTAACCATTTCAATTTGATCTAAATTGACTAAAAGATGAGATGGTGTGCTTGAGGCAAGTCTACCTGGTGTTGATGACGACATTTATAATTCTTTTAAAAAAAAATGCGTATTAATTATATATATTGTATTGGGAAATCGAACTACTATAAACAGGACCGTTCTGGGAACACAAAATTTTAACCCATGCCATTTGTTGATTGACCAATTAAAATCACGAATTTGATAAACGTAGAAATAAATATGGGTTGTCAACAATTGTTTCATTAACGAATTTAAGGAATTGGAAGAAATAGTCTAATAAATTAAATTGTACTACTCGAAAATGTATTTAAAGGGTTGGTTTTTGACTTGGTCGAAGAATAACTCTCTTCCTATCTCTTCTCTTGACCATATCTCTCGATATAATCAAAATAACTTTAATATAATGAATGTCAATGAAATGACTGTAAACACAGCAAATTTAAGATGCATGATTGTGATGAAAAATGAACAATGTACGAAAAATCAATCAAATTTATTTAATAAAAACAAAATTTACAACAAAAAATTTTTTTTGCATGTTCTAATAAAATTTCCATTGTTGCTGTCATCTGTTGCTGATTCAACATTGCCCAGATCATCATCAACTGTATTTTCGTTAGAATTTTTTGTTGATAACAATATATTCCAATCCTGGTCATAATTATCTTTTATCCAATTAGGACATCCATGTGTGTCTAGTATCAAACTGGATATCGATCATTGTAATCATAATAATTTGGACTGAATTTTTCTACAATATTTTTTAAAGTATCATAAAAAGTTGACCCCTTGAATTAAATTCAAAAACAAGAGTTATAGGTTAGAATCCTAAAAACGTCATGCTAACAATAGTGTATATGGAGCATATTTAAATAAGTGGGGATTATGTTAATACCTCTGTGAAATAAATTTAAATCGTTTTTGAATATTTGGTCATCTGTTGCTCTTTCTTGCCTAAGAAAATAAATATAAAGGTAATTTAATTTAATCTGAATTAGAATGATGAAAAATTGCAATTCTTTTTAATAATAACACTTATGTAATGATCTTGTTTTGTTTTGTTTCAACTTTTCTTTTTGTTTTTGGTAACCTTTTTTTTATATTTTTTTTTTTAAAAATAAAGTTATTAATAACTAGAGTGACATCAAGTGGCAATAACCATATAATTAATCATATATTTTTAATAAAATAAACATGACTTGGCTATTTAATCATTTTCTTGTATGTGAATGCCTCCATTCATCATATATTCATGATGGTCATGATTATTATTCAATACATTTGATGTTATAATTGACATAACAAACAATTGCATCACTCAAGTAGTAACAATACCAATGCCATGCATGAATGAAGCTCTTAACAATACATGTCTACCAGAGGATCAAAAAAAAAATTTTTCTTCTCATTGTGTAGTTCCTTATGAATAATAAATCTGATGTTGATTACAGATGTCAGATTTAACTAAAATTTCCTATCACAAACAAGTCAACAGATGCTTTCACACCTCCTCATAACCATGGAATTTTTTTCCACAGGTAAGGTGAAAACAAGTTGGAAGGCTTTGGACAAAACATTGCCTATCTTCCTCTCAGACCAGGCTTGGCTGTTGCCATATGGGCATTGATCACTGATAGCTGGTGCTTGTGTGATGTTTGCTTTGTGTTATCACCCTCTTTCACCAGAATAAAGTTGATTTAAATACCAAAATCCTGAACCATTTTTCTTGTTGGCCATATTGCTGACAATGATGTATATAATCAAATAATTTTAATCTGCAGGATAAGGAACTGGTTGGGTAAAAACCATACTCAAAATTATAAATTGGTTAGTATCAAAGAAATAGAGAATTTAGGAAAATGGTTATACAAAACAAACACTATTTTACAACTTTCCACTTAACATCAGAGTCCAAATGCAATTTCAGGGCCACAAACCCTGCTCTGAATGTGACCTCCTGTGCTTGGAATGAGCTGCAGATTCTCTTAATATTCCTCCAGAGTTGCAACATCTTGGTCACAGAGCTATCCTTATCTAGAGGTAGAATTGTTGCAGCTGACTTTTCAGAGCAGCCATCTCTGGTCTGGGTGCTGTGAGGGAAGATTAGTGAAAGTGTCATTGATGATTGATGTGTCTTGGTAAACTCCAGAGCCATGTGGTCCCCCCTGGAATTCAGTTGCATCATTGTATCATTGAGGAAACCTTGGTCAGATTAGCCTTGTGTACATGAGGAACATGTGAGAGAATGATTGTAAAGTGCTCAAGATAGTGTGCATGCTTCAATGTCTCTAAAAATTTCCTGTGATCAAATGTTGTATACTTGAATTGTTTCTTTTTCAACAATGTGCTGCCTTGACATCTTGTAGTTAAATTATAGTGTGAGATCAAAATTCCGCGTCTCACACAAATCTCTTGATTTTTATTAATGATGACATGCCGATACAATTTTCCCATTTATTTATACTAAATCATGATAACAATTTCCGCGAATGTATATTTATGCTTTACTCTCAAAACTATCTTTTACTATAGTGCTCAAGCTATTTAATTATTTGCAGGGCAAGTTTTCTTACTTCCCTTCCAGTAACGTTTTCTCAGCAGTTGCTATGTTTGCTGCCTGAGCCGGAACGTGTCAATTATTATCTCCTCCGATAATAATCCCAGTATCCTCCTTGATACCGATATGTTGTGTTTATATAGACGGTTCAGTGTTTCTTAACTGACTGCACCTAGCTAGGGGTTTCCTCTGTTTAGGCATTGGCCTAATCTAAAAATAAAGAAAATAAAATTAAAGAAATATATACAACTATACTTATCAAAGGCGTCCCCCTGGTAAGATAGTAATTAATTTATTAATCACGAAGATGTAATTTTCGAAGATAACAAGAACAAGGTCAAGGTTTATTTATAATAATATTTGAGTTTACTAAAAAAACTAAAAAAACTAATAAACTAAAGATTACATGAAAGAGAAATTTACAACGTATTTATACATTTTAGAGGTTCTATCATCTAGTTTTCCGATTTCTTTAAAATCCTAAATTATACTAATTAATGTATTCTTTAATCATTATTTAAACCTTCCATGTAGAATTATTTTCAAGTAATTTCTAGTCAACATGAGTCATGTAAAATTCTTTCGTTTAAATATTATTCTGAGACTTTGTAATTCGTTACATTTTAGAATGTTGGAATATTTATATTTCCAATATTTCCGTGAGTCAATTATTTTATTGGTGTTTGGATAAATTTAACTGTTTTGATCACTTGATCAGTTTTTCCGATTTTATTTGCGTGTAACTTCGTAAATCATTTCCGATTTATATGTTCGTTTCCCATGATTTATATAGTAATATTATTATTATTATTATTATTAACAATTATGAAAAGCAAAATGCACAATCTTGATAAGAATCTTATAATTACCCCAGCTCTGCGTTTTGATTCCATTAAAATATTTATAAACTAAAAGACACCTCATACATACCAATACAAGTAAAAAAGGCACCTCTATCATTAACACATTTTCTTTAGGAGAACCAAACAACAACTTTCACGTTTTGTTATCTTTGGACTCTGTCAAAAAATAAATTGTTTTTCTAAAAAAAAAAAACAATTCGTGTCTGTCCTCCCAAAAACCCCTTGTGCAACACCAAGTGCCAATAATAAATAATTAAGGGTAGAGTTCGTTACACAACATATCATATGGCAAAAAAATCACAAGACCTCAATTTTAAGGTTTGTACATACAAAACTTCTTGTAAATTTGCGAAACTTAAATGAAACTTTTTTTGTAGATTCTCCAGGATTAGGACTATCGACCAGCATACTTCTAATAACTTTTAATAATAAAGTTTTGTTGAGAAGACAGTGTGAAGTTAACATATATTGCAAATTCTATAGGTAAAGTTACGAATTCTTGTCCTCTACTATATGTTTTTGAAAAACTAAATGAACAGCCTTTAAGATATCTTTAATTGCTATAAATTAATATAAAAGGTACTTTGAATTTTATAAAAAGGCAAAGCTGTACTAATAATATTTATTTTATACAATTATTATATATAATAAATAGAAATGAGACATAATAATAATCTTGTCATCTTTCAACACCAACTATAGAATATTCACATGAACAAATTTAGCAAGAAACGTTTTTGGAGTGGTAATATATTGCTAGATAAGTTGTTATTTTGCCATTTATTTTTACTCATTTATTAGTATCTATACTAGTTTCAAAAATAACTTTGAGTTTCTAAAGGCAATTATAACATGATGTTGACCCGGGTCAATTAAAACTATGACCCGTCCCGTTTCAGAGCTCTAGTCATGACCATTTTGTTGAGTTTTGTTGCAGCATGTTCCATTTAATAATATTATAAATTATGTGAAAGTATTCTTTGAGACACATTCTAATTATTTTATATATTTAAATGTATGAATTTTATATCCATAATCCAAGACTGCTCAATAAATAGCAGGAAACTGATAAACTGACAAATTTAATAGTTATAAATATAGTTTTTACTTTTGATAACAAAATAATTTTTGACCATGATCTTGCATCCTTATTGGTCAATTTGATGATCAGCAAAGTAACCGACCAACTTTTAAAAGACAATGACCAAATTTTTATTTATAGACCAATTTGTAGAATCTCAAAGATCATTTTCATATTAGGAAGTAATACCCTCAGTATCAGAGAAAGTTTTATATATTAATAAAAAAAATTTTTGGTTGAAGAGATAAATTTTTTTTAATGCAACATAATAAAAGTGTGACATATTATTACTGGTAGATCACGAATTAAGACAAAATACTAATACAGTATAACCCTCGTTTCAACTAGACATATAAGAAAGTTTTATTTAAAATCTGTTGAAAAGAAATTACTAATCGCGTTTTAACGGATTTTTATATGATTTCATAAGAATAATAATAATAATAATAATAATAATAATAATAATGTATAACAAATATTTTTAAAATCCATTGGAACGCGAATTTAATTATAATTCGTTGAAATCAGGGCGCGAAATGTGTGATCAAAAATATCGGGAGAATGCTCGGTTTGGGAAAATTTTTTCAGAAACCTTCAAAAAATATCGGACAAAAAAATTTTTCTTAAATAATAATAAATAGTAGTAATATGGTTTCTATTCGAATAAGGTTTATTTGAATAAAATAAAATATTTCCATTGCTAATCCAATCTAATTTAAAATCTATTTTTTTTTATCAATCTATTTCCTTCATAGTCCTTGTATATAGTGATAATAATAATAAATAGTAGAGCAGAAGTAATTGACCATTTTTTAAGTCATAGTACTTCAGTAGTAATATAGATTATAAATATAATTATTGTAATTTTACAATTCCTTAACAATAACAACAATAAAATTATAGAATTTGTTGCAATTAGTATTTTATATTTTCTAAAACGAATAAAACGAATGATTTGAATAAAAACAAATAAAACGAATAAAACGAATAAATGAATGATTTTAAATAAACGAATAGAATGAAATAATAATGATGATTCGAAAGTATATTAGAAACAAAAGTAAAAATTTTATCTAAAAATTTATACACGTGTAACCAGAAAATGGCCGGAAGTTTATGATAGGATTTCACACTCCGGTTGAAACAAGCTTATAATACTCACATGGTATGGAAAATCATTAATATGCAGTGTATATAAACCAGTCTAATTTTAGAAATTAATATTCAAGATTTGGTATGTCTTTTAATTAAGGTTATTTATTGTTGTTAATTCTTTATAATGATACCCTTTAAAGAGAATAACGAATTGTAGTACCAATTCCAATTACAACAAATAAATTTCCAAATACGTTTGTTTAATAATGAAAATACGCGACATAATAAAATTAACGACATGATCATCGGATAGATCATACCAAGTCTTTATTTTATTGATTCATAGTTTCAATATTATCGTTATTGGCGTTATTTGACGATATTTTTAGAAATTTCAATAATCATAATCGTAAATGAATGAAATTGAAAGCCTTCATTAAATGGAAAAAAAATTTTTTTATATTTTTGTAATGTAAAAATTTTTTTTAATATATTTTAAGTAAACTAAAAATTTAAACTTGCAAATTGGCTGTTTATCGTCTCATACATAGTGAGAATGATATTTTAAATTGAAGTGATAAAAACAGAAATTGTCTAATATATTGCTCTATGTAATATCTTACAGGATTCACCAGAAAATAATAAAGTTTGATCTTTTATCAAAACCAATTTCCCAAATAAATATATCTTTGACCAATTTGCAGTCTTTGTCATGACAACGCTTGAGATTTTTTTTCAATCCTTTTCGCACACTGTCACACAAATGCACATAAAAAAAATATATTTTCAACAACTTTTATGTTTAATATGTCTAACATGGGATTAGTAAATAATTAATATTGGCCGAATCTTTTCAATTAATTGGTTGTTTAGTGATTAATTAAGTAATTGTGTGTCTTAATTAAATTAAATGATTAATCGTTAATTGACAAAGTAGTTTTATATTTTAATACCTTGGATAAAAATACTCATCAAGAACATTATTTTACATTAACAACAAATCAAAGGTCTTTAAATCAAAGCTTCAATAGTCCATCATTTTTTTTATCATATAGATAGCTTGGAAAAATCTTTAGTCGAGGTATTCGTTATTTATTTATTTTAGTTATTTTTTAAAGCAAAACCAAATGTTGAAAATGATTAATCAGGTGGCTTATTTCATAATATTAGACTGTAAATAAACAACGATGTAGTGTTGTTTATGAAAGGCACACCTAGTGAGCCGCAGGTAAATTTTTTAAGAATTTCTTTATATTTTCCATTTTAACACGCATGTGATCAATGGTGTTAGTTTTAGCAGAGTTGTAGTTCAAATATTTAACACTCAAGGTATTCACGTTTTCATACATGTTTATTTTATTTATATGTTTAAGCGAGGAATAATTTTTTTTGTTTTATTATTAAGGGATTGATAGCACAAAGATCAAGCATGTGTGGAATAATAATCACTGAATAGGAACAAGATTTTTATTGATTTTTTTGGAACTAATTTATTCATCTATGAATTAATTAGTCACTATTAAATGGTTATAATTGACCAACTTCCAAATATTTTTTTTACATTATTTTGATATATTTTTTTTCAGAAATGGAAATATGACGCAGTATTCATTTATCACGCGAATCCACCTAACTGGCACAATATCACACCCACCAACAAAATTATCTTTTAGATAAGCCTGAGGTATAGTTGGTCAATTTCTGGTATAACTGGCAAAAAAAGGTTTAATTGCATCCGTAGAAAAAATATTGAGAAATATTCAAATCTCTGAGTCATTCAATCAATCATTTAATTTTGAGAGTTTGTTTTACCAGTTACACAATAAATATCATTTAATAATAAATTCAACGTCTATAAATAAAAAATTTTAAGGCACATATGATGTTCGAAAAAAAAAAATCAAAATCAAAAAAATTAAAAAAATCAAAAAAAAATCAAAAAAATCAAAAAAATCAAAAATCAAAAATCAAAAATCAAATAATGGTTTCATTACCCAACACGATAAAAGAAAAAATTTTCACATCCACCCCCAAGCCTCTTTCCCTAATTTTACTCAATAAAAAATGGTACAGAATGTCAACCAACTCAAAAATTAGAGCAAAGTGGATAATTCAAAATTACGGAAGAGCAAATGCCTTATTTCATGCAATTCGATTCGGAGAGAATTTTATCTCAACGGAGTTGGTCGATTTTCTCATCACGGAAGAAAAAGTGAATTTATCTAGATATTTTACACAACGGTTGCTTTTACAGTTCGGGAGAAAAGACGATAGTCAAATTGAACCAACAATCAGTAATGACATCAATATCACTATAAACAATAACTATAACATCGATAACAATAATAATAATGCAAATAATGTGTTCAAAGTTACACAGAATTATTTTAGGAATCCATGGGCTTCGAATATTCCATTGGATGTATTCAGCCATTTGTTAATTGAGGCCGAGAGACGATATGGTCCGGATCTTCCATTAAGAGGGAATGATATTGAATTGTTTTGTTATTTAACAGGTGGAAAATTGGCTAGAGATTTAGCACCAGAAAAATTAAAAGAAAACATTGAAGAAATTAAGGATCTTATACTTAACAAAAAATTTGTACCTTTTCCCCCAAGACCAACGATTTTATTTGAACATATGATCAAATACCAAATAGAAATGCAAATAATAAATTGTGAAAAATATCCAGCCGAGGATGGTTTTGAAAATAACGAGCAGTTAAACACAATTGCCAGAGCAATACTAATTTATCCAGAAATTGTAGAACTATGGAAACAAATTGGTTACACTGATATATGCATAGATGTCAATAATTTGGTGTTACAAGATTCTTTGATAATTCTATACCCAAATTCAAAAAATGAAGATTGTCTTCTTCCTCCAACTACAAATGATTTAGTTGAACGCATACAACAATTTATCAAGGTTGGATTCAAATTGACAAAATCTGTTATGACAGATATTTTATTTTCCTATGAACAAGATCTTACCAAATTTGGAGACTTGCTTATAGAAGCATTCCAAATAGTAAGGAGCCAATCGAAAATCGAAATTGTTGGTCATTGCATTGTGGAAGCTATTAAAATCAACAGGAATTCGAAAAAAAATCAAGTTTTAGATTTTCTCAAGATTCAACTTAAAGAAAATGATTTAGAACCTGTTTATCTTGAAGCTTTAGTTTACCATTATTTTGGTGATACTACTAGAAACAAAATTTCCAAACTTGCCAACAATATCAATTTGACAAGCGACAAAAAAATTATTGATTATTACTGTACTTATGACTACAAATATCATCCACATGATATAAGAACATTGAAATTAAGTAGCAATTTGTACAAATGGGTACTAAAAAATTTCAATCCTGATTCAATTGTAACGAGATTATGTTTCAATGATATAATTATATCCAAGACTTGGATTGACAAAGAATTGTTGCTACATCCTGAAAGAAAAACACCAGAAAAGATGACCACTTGTGCACTTGAACTGATCATATTTATTTACAATGAATTTTGTAAGAATAACGTTCCATTTGAGTTGGTACATTTGAGCTTATTAAAGAAATCAAATGATTTTACAACTTTGACACCATTCTTTGAAGGTTTCTTGCCACAAATTTTTAATATTAACCCAACATTTGATTATTGTAATGTCAATAATAATAATACCAAAAAAAATGGATTAAAAATTGAGGAAAAAACAAAACTCTGGTTTATTGAATTGGGAAAAATTCATTATCAAATTAACACACAATTTAATGTCACCACCACACATAATCAGTTTACTATGAATTTCAAGATTTGCATGGAAAGGTTTTGGGATAGAATTGTGTTGGAGACTGATTACATTAACCAATTTCAATTTAAAAAAGAAAGATAAAAAATAATTGGAAGCTTGAAGGAAATGTTATTCTTCTATATCTTTATTATTATTATTTTATTATTTTTAAGATAACATATTAATATGTAATGGTTATTTCACGGAGACTAACGCCCGTGATGAAAAAAGTTTATTTTACATAAAAGTCTTTTTTTTGCTTACGATAAAAAATTACAATTTACCAAACAAGCATTTCAACCTATTTTACTAATGCAGTTTGCTCCTTTCCTTAAAAGTTTCCGAGGCTTCTATTTCTACTTTACCTGTTAATTCTATTCCTCAAAGTATTTCAAATACTGAAAAATCAACTCGAAATTGGGTTACTAAATTTGAATAATTTCGCAAGAATTATAATTATAAGATTACGAATTCCAAATAAATTGAACAACAGGTCATAGAAGAATACAAGGTATTCGTGCGTATAAAGAAGTAAATGAAAAATAACATATTGCTGCTATGGATACTTTGATCCATGCTTTAGAACCATCAAGATCAATTCTTGGCGATTCAACTTCAATTAATAATTCTTTAAAAATAACACGAGATGTCTGTCTTCTTTCGATACCACCTTGATCTGATACTTTTTTAGCATAAAAACATCTTCCGTATCCTCAAATCGTGAAATGAGCAAATAATGTTGTTCACCATCTCTAGTACAACCAAGTAAACATATCCACGATAAAGTAAACCAGTTAGATTATTTGGAGAGCAAAAATTGTGATCCAATATTAATTTAACTTCTTTATTAGTTAAAGTATCATATGGTTTAGCTTCGCCTAGCCTTGTTTTTCGACGTCCATCTAAAATACCATTTAATTTTGAAAAGTGGCGGCGCCCCGGGCTGTAGCCTGAGGCTCTACTTTTTTATATTATTGAAAAGGAGAAAGTACTTTTGATGAAAATCCGGAAATGAGGTTGCCAGGATATAAATTAGAATAAACATTCGGTTTTGCTTCTTGGTATCCTTGCAGTGGCAAAGAATTATTATCTAAATTCAGAATAGTATCACCAACTTTTACTTTTTTCATGTCCTGAATGTTGGCAGTAAAATCAACCGATTTCTCCCGCGACTAATTTGTCTTTTAAAACTTCTTTTGGGGTTGTTTATTTTGCATAAGTTGTATATAGCTCCAATCTTTTTTGACATTTCTGAGGTGTCGACTGATACTAGCAATAGCATTCTTAAGTGATGATTTAGAATATAGTTGATTTTTTTTGGTTCTAACACTCGTAATAAATTCATTTACTTCCTTTCGATTTTATCTTTACCATCTAAAGATTCAAGTAAATAGTTGTACCAGACTGCTTCACGCAAGTCATTTAAAATTTGCGTGTGATTTACAAATTATTTGAAGGAATTCTTAGTTGTTGTAACCTGTGTCTAATTCCCCTTGAACTGGCTTAAAATGTTCAGAAATAGGCTAGTTTAAAAACAAATAGATGTCAAACATTCACGCATGCAATTATACGAACAGTCATCCGTCACACGATACAAAAAATTCACAAAACATTGTCTTGGGTGTGTAACATATGAATGATATATTTTTTTTAAATGGGTGATAAAGCATTACAATTGTGACGTCAAACTTTCTTTGTGACATAATGTTCTAAGCTGACTTGTAATATAAATTTTGTGTAATGCTGTTATGGTATTTACGTAATTATTAAAAAGCCCGTTCTGATGGAGGTCGGGTGTACATTGAACTTGAAACTTTCGACCCTCAAGTGCACCAATTAACATTAAATTTTAGCCTCCATGATAACGTGACATATCAATCACAGAATTGTATTCTAAAATCCTTAGATTTCAAACACATCCAATAAAATTTTGCGACTAAACATGTCATGTATAAAAAACCTTATTGATTTTTTTTTACTTTTATTTGATGTGCCATTCAATTCTATTATTACTATCAATTAATCATTACTTTACCAAATTTTTTCAAACAAATATTACTTCCATGTTCATCATATTCAGATTTTGTGACTGACATATCTTTAAATTCGTTAGTTTTGGCAAATTTAGAGCCACCATGCCATGCATATGTGATTGGACTATTTATTGATCGGAGAATTAATATTATAATAAAAAATTTTATTTTATTTTAATTTTAGTTTTAATTTTAATTACTTATCAGGAATTCCGATTTTAATTTCATAATCTGATGGTGCAAGTACACGTAAATCTTTTTCGCTAATAATATAAATATAAATATAATTTTAGATATAAATAATAAATAATATTATTTATATAATACAAAATAGTCATAAATCATATAGTTTACATTCTTTCCTTATATCCAGAAAATAAACTATTACCACCAACCAATAAAACATTTTCATAGAATAGCCCTTGTGTATCTATATTGTTTACCTGAAAAGGGAAAATATCTAAAATTCATTAATAGGTGTCAGTTATCACAATAACAATTTGTTATTGTTATTCAATTAAAAAATAGTTATGCCTAAAAAATCCTACCAGGGCTAATTGAATTAATTGATGCTACAATTGCTTCTGGTATACCTGCTTGATCCATACCTAACAACAACATTATTAATTAATTAATTAATTAATTAATTTTTTGATTTGAAATCAATTATTTTAAAATAATACCAATATCAGAAGGATTAAACAATATCTCTGGCACAGTAAATCTTTCATTGTTCATGTATAAGACTTGTTCATCTGAATAATTATTTCTTCTTCCACTGGCTTTTCTTTCCTTTCAAAAAGTATATTTTATTTTTGCATGTTAAATAGAATATTAATTCTAATATAATAAATTAATCAATATATCTATAATTATTCCTTACCATACCCTAACATATCCCTTTGGATTTTTAGAATAATCAGGTAAAACATATTCTTGCACAATTGAGTTATTTCTTGTGCTTTTTCTATACCAATATTAAATAAAATAAAATTGAAGATTTAATATACAAATTGTATATTAATTTATCTATTATTTATTTATTTAGTAATTGCATTACCGACAAATTTCAAGATCTCCTAAAAAATCTTTAGAAACATAACAACAAGTTTCTTTGACTTCATTCATAACATAAGTTTGATCCATCATATTCCAATATCTATAATAATAATAGTAATGATTATTATTGTTGTTATTAAATTAGAAAATAGATAAAAAAAATTTTCTTTTCTTCACACAAATTGTTAAAATAATTTACCGAAATGATACTATTTCTTTCAGATGATTTGTCAAAAATTTTCCTCCAATATTTATCCTTAATATATTTTAAATAATAAAAATATTATATCATGATATTATTGATTTATAATTATCATCATCATTAAATAATTAAAATAATTACCAAAATTTTTATAGTATAAAAGATACCTTCTAATAGCAGATAAAACTGGTTTTCCCATAATAAATGGTATGATGTGAGTAAAAGAATATCCAGAATCAATAACTAACATGCATTCAGATCTTCCAATATTACTACTATTACTACTAATATTATTATTGCTACTATTAGAATTCTGATGATCTTGATGCAACAACATTGTCATATCATTTTGAATGCATAACCATGGTGCTATTTTAATATTATTTTATTACACCACCAAGTAAAAGGTTTTTTGTTAATATTAAATTAAAGGTTTTCAATAATATTATTAAATTGTATGTACCAATTGTCCTAAAACAAGATTTAAATTCATATACTTCAAATATCATTTCATCATAGGTTGTTTGGATATTTGGTAGATTAAAACATGGTTCTGTAATGATAAGGTTGGTAGTTGGTGTATTACACTGATAAAAATTATTAGGAAATTATTTATTATTGTTGTTGTTGTTGTTGATGTCAATTAAATTATTCATCATCAACAACATTAACCTTATTATTAACTTACTTCAAGTATATTATCAAATATTCTATCCCATACTTCTCTTTCAGTTTCCCAATCAACAAGATACCCCTATATTATCATATATTATATGAATCAAAAAAAAAGATTTTTTCATTTTGATCAAAACCATAAAAATCACAAACCCTTTCGAAAGGTAATCGATAATATAAACCAGAATAATCTAAACAACTATTGATCTGATCTCCTATATACGTTTTTCTTTCACCTTTTCCTCTTGTTACTTTACAATTAGGAATTATACTAATAAAAAACAAGTGAATAAATTTGATTTTTTTAAAGAGAAGAAGAGAAGAAAAAAGTAATTTATACAAAAGTACCTTGGCTCTTCATTATCAATAGCATAACCAACTTTGATGCTATAAGCACCATTATCAAGAACTAAAACATTATCAGACATATTTAGAAAAAATTTTTTTTAGATCAACAAATGTACGCATCCAAATTTGTATAGATTGTTACACGACGAAATTTTAACAGACTGCATACCTACTAATTAATAATTCTCAAAGTGTAACGAAGTAATTAGAAGTCGTCGGAGCGATAAAGCTAAGGATGCTAGATCTGCAATGTTTGAAATATTTGGAGAAAATTGTTTAACATATATTAATACTACAGTCAACCCCCTCTAAGTGCACCCTCTCTCTAAATGCACTCACTCACGCCATGTCTCATTCCCAAACTTATAATGAGCTTATAAAATTACCCCCTCTAAATGCACACCTTCCCTAAATGCACACTCATGAGAAATAGTGAGTGATAAGTTTCCAAGGAGGGGTGCACTTAGAGAGGGTTGACTGTACTGTAGAGTCAAGTATTTAAAAATTCACATACATAGGTAAACTTGATAAGTCGGACACAAATGGCTGGACATGGTGTCCGACTTATCAAAATATGCAATTTTACAAAAAAAAAAACGAACCAAAGAAGATACCTTTTTAATAGTGACAAGATTAGGAGGATCTCCTTTCAACAAATCTCTCAACACATCAAGTCCTAGTGCTTCAATAAAAAATCCGAGAATAATTATATCATTGGTAATCTAAGTGGTTTTTTGAATCAATAATATAAATTTATAAATAACTTCATACTAACAAACAAATATATTTATATATATATTTACCGATAATCTACCCAATACTTGTGGTGCCATATCAAACCGGTGTGTGCAACGAAACAAATCTATTCTGAAATTAATTACATCATCAGCATTTTCAATTGGTTTTCCGAGATTGTCGGAAAAGTTCTTATCAGTTGCAATTAATGGATCAGGCTTAGGATCAATGATTCCATGCCTTTAATTTTTTTAAAAACAAAAATTATTAATTATTATTAATTTAGAGCTTCCAATCATTAGAAAAAATCAATCAATCAATTTAATTATATTATATAATTTACCCGGTATAAGGAACTGTGTAATCCAAGAAAAGTTCCTCATTCTGTTCAATGTCTCTTTTTGCGTATAGTCCAGTCATTATTAATTCTCCCACCTGCCATTTCTGAACAACACAATTTGCCTCATTTGAATGACTAATATACTTGGACATTATACCGCCCAGTTGTTTTGTATCCTACGGTAGTTATATTTTTAATTAAATTTTTATAATGTATGTATATAGATACACATTAGTAGTAGTAGATATATTCACGCACCTGGATGGTTGTTTTGTCCTGAACAACATTCCACAAACCTTGTGTTAACCATTGATCTGTAATATCACTCAAATCTTCATAACTTGATGATGCTTCTGGAAACTCTGTTATGAATCGACCTCTATAAAAGTAATAGTAATCTATTAATACATAAGTATATATATATATATATATATGTATATATAAATATATCTATTTCTAACTTCTTTAAAGGCTCTAAAAGTCTTAATCCAAAACCTTTGTCATTTTTGAAAAATACTTCAAATTTACAATTTTGTGACTTCATCAGGAAACTTTTGAGCTAGACGATTCCCCCAAATTTTATTAATAGGGATCCTTCCTTTGCCACCCGCGAAGATCTGCTGAGAACCCCTGAAAAATATCCCCCGAAGAATTCCTTGATTTTCCTTCTATATATATTTATACGGAATTTTTTATTTTATTTCGATTAAAATGAACCACATTAAAAATCAATACGCAATGATACAAATTTGTCAAATTTATATTACTAATAGCAATAAAGTTTATTAATTATTATTATTATTATTATTATGAGTTCTCACTATTCTCATTGTCCTTTTTTTACATTACCATCTGATCTGATAGATTTGGTAATATTTGCAGTTATCATTTGTGAATTATTTATACAATCCTAATTATATAGTAATAATATATATACAATATATATTAACCAATAAAAATTTGCACAAATAGGTTTTCAGGATTGGAGAAAGTGCTCAATGAATAATTAATATTAAGTGAGAATATTAAAAAATAATTACTCAATATTTTTCATAACTGTTTCGAAGAGTATTATCACTATCAGATATTTTTGGATGTACAATTTCACAAACAGCTAAAGTAAATGTCATGTCTTTTTCTTTCCCTGCGCTTTTTTCATAATTGCATCAACATAAGGAAGGCTGTGATCTTCATCAATTTGGAATAAACATTTGAATGCTTTTTGTCTTACATAGGTAAAACTCGATAAGTCGGATTTGGCCTAACTCGGACAAAAATTTCCAGCCCTTTTTTTTTATATTTAAAAATTTCTTGATAAGTCG